TACATACATACATACATACATACATACATACATACATACATACATTTTCTTCTGCTTGTCTGTGGTCGGGTCGCGGGGGTAGTAGCAGCCTAAGTAGGGAGGCCCAGACTTCCCTCTTCCCAGCCACTTGGTCCAGCTCCTCCGGGGAAATCCCGAGGCGTTCCCAGGCCAGCCGAGAAACATAGTCCCTCCAGCGTGTCCTGGGTCTTCCTCTGGGCCTCCTCCCGTTGGGACGTGTCCGGAACACCTCACCAGTGAGGCGTCCAGGAGGCATCCTACACAGATGCCCAAGCCACCTCAACTGGCTCCTCTCGACGTGGAGAAGCAGCGGCTCTACTCTGAGTCCCTCCCGGATGATCAAGCTTCTCACCCTATCACTGAGGGAGAGCCCAGACACCCTGCGGAGAAAACTCATTTCGGCCACTTGTATCCGAGATCTCGTTCTTTCGGTCACAACCCAAAACTCATGACCATAGATGAGGGTGGGAACGTAGATCGATCGGTAAATTGAGATCTTCGCCTTTTGACTCAGCTCTCTCTTCACCACGACAGACCTGTACAGCGCCCGCTTCACTGCAGACGCTGCACCTATCCGCCTATCGATCTCACGCTCCATTTTTCCCTCATTCGTGAACAAGACCCCAAGATACTTGAACTCCTCCACTTGGGGCAGGACCTCCTCCTTGACCCAGAGAGGGCACTCTTCCCTTTTCTGGCTCAAGACCATGGCCTCGGATTTGAAGGAACTGATCCTCATCCCGGCCGCGTCGCACTGTGCTGCGAACCGCTCCAGCAAAAGCTGTAGATCACGATCTGATGAAGCCAATAGAACTACATCATCTGCAAAAAGCAGAGACACAATCCTAAAGCCACCAAAACGGATCCTCTCAACACCTTGGCTGCACCTAGAAATTCTGTCCATAAAAGTTATGAACAGAATCGGTGACAAAGGGCAACCTTGGCGGAGTCCAACTCTCACTGGGAACAAGCCAGACTTACTGCCGGCGATGCATACCAGGCTCTGACATCGGTCATACAGGGACCTAACAGCCCATATCAAAGGGCCTGTTAACCCCATACTCCCAGAGTACCCCCCACAGGGTTCCCCGAGGGACACGGTCGAACGCCTTCTCCAAGTCCACAAAGCACATGTAGACCGGTTGGGCAAACTCCCACTCACCCTCCAGGACCCTGATGAGAGTAGAGCTGGTCCAGTGTTCCACGACCAGGACCAAAACCGCACTGCTCCTCCTGAATCCGAGATTCGACTATCCGACGGACCTTCCTCTCCAGAACCCCCCAAATAGACCTTACCAGGGAGGCTTAAGAGCGTGATCCCCCTGTAGTTGGAACACACTCTACGGTCCCCCTTTTTAGAATAGGGGGACCACCACCCAGGTCTGCCAATCCAGGGGAACTTCCCCCAATGTCCACGCAATATTGCAGAGTCATGTAAGCCAACACAACCCTACAACATCCAGAGCCTTAAAGAACTCCGGGCGAATCTCATCCACCCCTGGGGCCCTGCCACCGAGGAGCTTTTTAACCACCTCGTTGACCTCGGCACCAGAGATTGAAGGGCCCGACCCTGCGTCCCCAGGCTCCGCTTCCTCAGTGGAAGACGTGCCGGTGGGATTGAGGAGGTCTTCAAAAAGTATTCTGCCCACCGACCCACGACATCCCAAGTTGAGGTCAGCAGCGCACCACTCCCATTATAAACAGTGTTGGTGGCGTACCGCTTTCCCCCCCGAGACGCCGGATGGTGGACCAGAATCGCCTCGAAGCCGTACAAAAGTCATTCTCCATGGCCTCCAAACTCCTCCCATGCCCAAGTTTTTGCCTCAGCGACCACCCGAACCGCATGTCGCTTGGACTGCCGGTACCCATCAGCTGCTTCCGGGGTCCCACAGGCCAAAAAGGCCAGATAGGACTCCTTCTTCAACCTGACGGCATCCCTCACCGATGGTGTCCACCACCAGGTTCAAGGGTTGCCATCATGACAGGCACCGACAACCTTGCGGCCGCAGCTCCGATAGGCCGCCTCGACAATAGAGGCACGGAACATAGTCCACTCGGACTCAATGTCCCCTACCTCCCCCAGAACATGTTCGAAGTTTTCCCGGAGGCGGGAGTTAAAATTCCGTCTCACAGGAGACTGCCAGACGTTTCCATCGAACCCTCACAACATGTTTGGGTCTGCCAGGTCTGACCGGCATCCTCCCCCATCATCAGAGCCAACTCACCACCAGGTAGTGATCAGTGGACAGCTCCGCCCCTCTCTTCACCCGAGTGTCCAAGACATGCGGCTGCAAATCATATGAGACAATGACAAAGTCGATCAAAGAACTGCGGCCTAGGGTGTCCTGGTGCCAAGAGCACATATGGACACCCTTTATGCTTGAACATGGTGTTCTTTATTGACAATCAATGACGAGCACAGAAGTCTAACAACAGAACACCACTCTGGTTCAGATCAGGGGGGCCGTTCCTCCCAACCACACCCCTCCAGGTCTCACTGTTATTGCCCACGTGAGCATTGAAGTCCCCCAGCAGAACAAGGGAGTCCCCAGGAGGTCGCGCTCAGAGCAGTTGCAGCTTCACAGGCTCCCGGTACCATCCCAGTTTTTAGAAGTTTTGATATTGACTCTGTGCCTGACTCTGCGCGATTTATGCGTGTGAACTATAGCCGAACCGAACTGATGAGAATAGGAGCGGATTTGCCACGAAATATAGCAGAAATCAGCAACAAACTCAAAGCTACGCTCGGCAGAATGCAGATCTTAAAGTCATCTACCTGGAAGCTGCAGCAGAGGCGTTCCAGCGGGCAGAAGAGGAAGCGCTGCTCCCGGCTTAAGAGGAGAGGATGCCGGGCGGGGGTTATGGTGAGGCTATGAGCTAACGCTAAAGCCGGTAAACTCCCCATGCCATCTCTCTTTCTGTCGAACGTCCGCTCGTTGGACAACAAGGTGGATTTACTTCGTCTGAGAGCGGGCGCCTCAGAAGAGATGAAGAAGTGTGCGGTGCTTTGCCTCACGGAAACGTGGATTACAAGTGAAACGCCGGACTCAGTCTTCCAGCTGGATGACAGACTTTTTTTTCGAGCGGACCGCTGCAGCGAGCTAACGGGGAAATCACGGGGGGGCGGAGTGTGCATTTACGTGAGTAAAAGTTGGTCCACGAACTGTACTGTTGTAAATAGCTCATGCTCGAAGGCTTTGGAGCAAATAACAGTGAAATGTCGGCCACATTATCTACCCCGAGAGTTCACAGTGACTTTTATCACAGTTGTTTACATTCCTCCGGACGCTAATGCTAATGAATCACTACAGGAGCTACATGATATCATCAGCTCGCTGCAGAACAAACACCCCGAGGCTCTTTACGTTGTAGCCGGAGACTTTAACCACGTGAATCTAAAGGAGTGTCTCCCAAGCTTTAATCAACATGTGACGATTCCGACACGTGGAGACCGCACGCTGGACCGTGTTTACACGAACGTAAAAAATGCATACAAAGCTGAACCCCGCCCCCACCTAGGACTGTCAGACCACATCTCAATCTTCCTGGCTCCTGCTTACATGCCCCCGCTGAGACGCTCCAGACCGGTACAAAAGAAAGTTAAATGTTGGAGCCAGGACAGTGGACCCATACTGAGAGATTGTTTTGATCGAACAGACTGGCAGGTTTTCAGAGAAGCTGCTGAAAATGGAGGTTCGCTTGATCTTGACCAATACACATCCTCAGTACTGGGTTACATTAGTACATGTACTGACACAGTCTCCACTATCAGAAATGTTAAAAGCTACCCAAACAGAAAACCTTGGCTGAATGCAGAGGTGCGTACCCTGCTGGAAGCCAGGAACACTGCCTTCAGGTCTGGAAACTCAGAGGAGCTGAGTAGGACAAGAAAAGAGCTGGTTGCTGGTATTAAGAGGGCCAAGGCCGCATATGCAAAGAGGATCGAGGGTCAATTCATCTCACAAGACCCTCGGAGCATGTGGAGGGGCATTAAGTGCATAACAGATTATAAAGGAAGGAGCGAACAATGTCCCAAAGACCCATCTCTGCCTGATGCCCTCAACAAGTTCTATGCACGCTTTGAAGACCCGAACAGACCACCCAGCACCAGACTCACCTCGCCACCGGATGAAGAGCATCTCAGCGTGACCTCAGCAGAAGTAAGGAGTACCTTCAGGAGGATTAATCCGCACAAAGCAACTGGCCCAGACAACATCCCCGGAAAAGTGTTGAAGGAATGTGCTGATCAGCTCTGTGAGGTGCTGGCAGACATCTTTAACACCTCACTTACCCTGGAGACAGTTCCCACCTGCCTGAAGACTGCCACCATCATCCCAGTCCCAAAAAGCTCTACAGTGACTGGTCTGAATGACTATCGGCCAGTGGCCCTCACCCCGATAGTCGCTAAATGCTTCGAAAAACTGGTCATGACTCACGTCAAAACAACCATCAACATCAACGAGGACCCTCATCAGTACGCATACCGTGAGAACCGATCAACAGAGGATGCAATCTCCTCTGTGGTCCACACTGCACTCAACCACCTGGAGCAGAAAAACTCTTACGTCCGTATGCTCTTTGTGGACTTCACATCCGCCTTCAACACCATGATCCCCCAAACCCTGATGGACAAACTATCCACACTAGGACTAAGCCCCTCCATTTGCAACTGGGTACTAGACTTCTTAACAAACAGACCACAGTTAGTGAGGATCCACAACCTCTCCTCCTCCACCATAACCCTCAGCACTGGCTCTCCTCAGGGATGTGTGTTGAGCCCCCTTCTGTTTACTCTGCTCACATATGATTGTGCAGCTACCCATCCAGGCTGTCACATTGTAAAGTTTGCAGATGATACAGCGGTGGTGGGATGCATCACAAACAATGATGAGTCCAGCTACAGGCAAGAGGTGGAACACCTGGAGAGCTGGTGCAGAGAGAATAACCTTCACATCAATGTGAAGAAGACAAAGGAGATGATTGTGGACTTCAGAAGGAACAAAAACACCTACACCCCCCTGAACATAAGAGGATCTGCGGTGGAAGTGGTCTCCAGCTACAAGTACTTGGGTGTACACATGAATGACAACCTCAGCTGGAGCAACAACACCACCAGCCTGATCAACAAAGCTCATCAGAGACTCTACTTCCTCAGACGGCTGAGGCGAGCTGGTCTGGGAAGCTCAGTCCTCACCTCCTTCTACAGGTGTGCAGTGGAGAGCATCCTGTGCTCGAGCATCAATGTGTGGCATGGAGGCTGCACAGCTGCAGAAAGAAAAGCTTTACAGAGAGTGGTGAAGGTTGCACAGAAATCTGTTGGAATCAGTCTCCCCACCATCACAGACATCTACACCTCCAGATGCAGGAAGAGGGCCACCTGCATCATGAAGGACCCCACCCACCCAGCACACACACTTTTTGCCCCACTCCCCTCAGGAAGGAGGTTAAGGAGCATTAAGTGTAGAACCACTAGACTGAGGAACAGCTTCTACCCTGAGGCTGTTAGACTCATGAATCTCTAACTAGAATAATCACTGTGAAAAACCATATCATGTTGCTGCTGATCTGTTTCATGTTGCTGCTGATCTGTTTCAATGTTGATGTGTTCATGCGTGCACATCTGCTCACAGACTCATGTTCATGTTTGTGCTGATGTTCAATGTTTTATGTTATGAGTGCTTAGTGTATATTTGGTTGATGTTTTTCTTGGTTCATATCTTGGATGTTATTGCTGTTTTTCTTATACATTTTATTGTTGGATGTAACTGGGACCTTGTGTACATAATTTCGCTCCACCACATGTACCACATGAGGTGCGAATGACAATAAAGAAACTCTGACTCTGACTCTGACTCTGAAGGACTCCAAAAAGGGTGGGTAATCTGAACTGCCGTTTGGTGCATAAGCACAAACGACAGTCAGAACCCGTCCCCCCACAAGTAGGCGGAGGGAGGCCACCCTCTCATTCACTGGGGTGAACCCCAACACACAGGCACCAAGATGGGGGGCAATAAGTATGCCCACTCCTGCTCGGTGCCTCTCACCAGGGGCAACTCCAGAGTGGAAGTGTCTCCAGCCCCTCTCAAGAAAACTGGTTCCAGAGCCAGAGCCATGCGAAGAGGTGAGTCCGACTATTTCTAGCCGGAAACTCTCAGCCTCACACACCAGCTCAGGCTCCTTTTCCATCAGTGAGGTGACATTCAACGTCCCAATAGCCAGCTTCTGTAGCCGAGGATCAGACCGCCAGGGTCCTCGCCCTCGGCCACCACCCATCCCACATTGCACCCGACCCCTTTGGCCCCTCCCACAGGTGGTGAGCCCATGGGAAGGGGGACCCACGTCTCCTCTTCGGGCTGTGCCCGGCCGAGCTCCATGGGTAAAAGCCCGGCCACCGGGCGCTTGCTTGCGTGCCCCACCTCCAGGCCTACCTCCAGAGTGGGTCCACGGTGACCCACGTCCGTGCGAGGGAACATCAAGTCCATTTATTTTACTCATCATAGGGGTCTTTGGGCTGCACTTTGTCTGGTCCCTCACCTATATATATATATATATATATATATATATATATATATATATATATA